TAGTGTCTAATTACTGTCTGTGCTAACCCATCTCCCCTGCCCCACCCCTCATATCCCTACATAAACTGTTGTGTAGTGGCTGTAGTAGGAGTGATAACTACAGAGTATCACTTGAGTGACAGCTCCGGTTCTGCTAGGACTACTGACATCATATCCAAGATGGCGGCGCCCAGCAGACATCTGAGGGCTTTTGGATGTCTACACAAAGGAGGCATTTACAGGTAAATAACATGCATAAAACATGTTAAATGTATATATAATCTTATAGGAAGATTCCCAGTAGACTGTCTCCTCCCAGTAGTAAGCCTCCAAAGAAATAACTAAATAGTCATTCAAGCTTCACTACACAGGAACTAAGACAAGAGGTTTACTTGTACATGAAAAGCCACTTACTGTAATAAGTTAAAGCTCAGATCCAGCCTCTTCGCAAAACTACCATATTTGCAAGCAAGAAATCCTGGAATTTCTGTACAATCTTTTCCAATGTATGACACCTGTAAAATCAAACAGAAGTAGAAATGTTTCTTGCACACATTTGTTTTCTGTTTTTTAAATTATATGCCACCCAAATGATTTTCGTTAGTCATAGTAAGAGCGGCACATTGTTTGATAGCACACTGATTCTTACTGCTGTGCAGAATCTGTTAAAGTCCCCCACAAACATGGTACATGCTGATACATGGCCAGTAAAAAAACCTTTCACAGATTTAATATTGGATTTAGAAACAGTTGTATCTATAATGACACATTGAAAATGGAAGATAGCCATAGTTTGGATGGCCGACTTTGCAGGAGAGACAGGATATTTGGAAGTGGAAAGAAAGCGCGGGACCTGTGCGCTTATTCTGTTGAAGTTTCCCACCCAACATTGGTAAAGTGATATGAATATATGTGATCTGGCAGGCAGTTTCTACAAGCCAAAGGTTCTCCACAGTATGCTTGGCTTGGCAGAGAACACAGTGGATATACTCTAGAAATTGAAGTGCCACACCAATTGAAATAGTCCAGATTCAATTTTAATCCATTAGGGTCAGGGGGCATTCAACTAGAGTGTCCAATGTGTCACTCATCAGGGGTTTATGAGAGAAACCGTGTATGTGGGCTACAATCCCTGCAGCTTGAAGGTTTTATAAAAAGGGTAATTCCACTTTCCCAGGTAAATTTGGGAAAATGCCCAGCACTCTGAATTTTGCTAGCAAATGGTGAGCACTCATTGGTCAGCAAAGTCAGACCAAAGAGAAATACTCCTGACCACGCTGACCAATGAGATGCACTTCTTGCTAAGAAGCGCTCCTCATTGGTCAGCGTGGTCAGGTAACTGTGCTGACCAATGAGTGCTTGCCATTTGCAAGCGAAATTCAAAATTCAGGGTGCAGGGCTGCGCTACACAGCAGTACGCAATACGGATATACACTGGCATCGGCGGAGGGGAAGGAGCGTTCGTCCAAGGGTAAGTATAGCAGGGGAGGAGAGGGGGCCATATTGGAGGGGGTAATTCCATTTTCCCAAATTCCACAACCTTGAAGCCTGCCTCAGTTTTTAGAATCGCTGCCTTTGGAAACAAATCTACTTCTGCCCACTTTCATACACCACTCCGGCATATAACTATTTCTCATGCTTCACTGAGGGTCACTTATTTGGACATTTCATTTGTCAGTCTGACTAACTTATGAAAAAAAATGCTTCCAGCAAACAACATACATAGAACTGAAACTGAAATAGTGAGGAATTTACCATGTGCAGACAACATATGCAAGTTTTCATATTGTGAGAGAACCAGTGAGTTCAGCAAATACAAAATATGTGTAAGGGGTTCTCAAACCCTTTTTAGGAGCCATGGCTGAAACAGATTTTATAAAAGCATTTTGATAATTTTTCCTAAAATGCAGAATGAACAGTGTGCATGCCATTTTGTCAGCTCCCACACTGGTCCTGAACTTTTTTTGAACACTTGCCTGTTTTCACTATGAATAGCTGATAAAGAAGAGCCGTAACTTCAACTGAATCCTTCCGGGACTCATATGCTCACGGTCAGATTTTAATGATGTGCCCCCTTTGGCCACCTTTCCTGGGCTGCCCCCTATGACCACAGACCTTTGTGGTCTCCTAGCTCTCTATACTAAAAGCAATTAGTGTAACCCATGGGTAATAAAATGTTAATGCTTTTAGTTTATCCTTCGGGCTTATACAAGGAAGAAAAGAGATAGAAAAATAAAACAAGGGACAGCCTGTTGCCCCTCTGAAAATCTGCTGCCACAGGCCAGGGCCTACATTATCCTTCCAAAAACAAAAGCCTGCCCATGTTCATACACAGAAAAAGAGCTGCCAGCGTGGGGACAAAAGCAGAGAGCAGTGGAGGTAACCCTGGAAGCAAAGCAAGAGTTGGCTTTGTTTACCTGTAAAAGAAAAGTTTCAGTAACATTGACGTCAGTTTTACTGCATACATTTTAGCACTTTCGGACACTAAATCTGACTGTATGAAAGTGCTAAAATGTATGCACATACACCACTGCTATTTATCTAGCATTTGATCCCCAACTAGTACTATCTTGGCACTCCACATGGAGTTTGCAATAGAATGAAGACTCTGTCATATCTGTACAGATT